AACCTTGTTTCCCTATCACAGGATGTCTAGCATAAAACAAGTATTTGCCAGCCACAGCAGACTATGCTATGGGATTAAGCCCTATGACAGATCAAATAACTCCATATCTATTCTAACCATCCTACTAGATCTAATAATGTCATATAGAAAATAGGGAATCATAAGTATATCTTCCAGAGTGATGTTATTGACTTTTGTCAAAAGTGTTCAAATAACTTTTTATAAGATAAGACAGTCCAGTCTTTTTGCTAAATGGACAATAATTTACATTGTGGCTGTTCTTAATGAGCAACAAAACATTAGACTGAATTTCATTGTGAAACAAATGAGCTTCAATTTATCAAGAGCATCATCTCCATCTCCTGTAGTTTGAATAGATATAATGTATTTTATTGTATCAAGTATTCACCAGTTCACTATTACAAGGATATCTGTTACATTTAACTACTGTTTTGAAACTAGCCACTTCTTGTCACAGGTTAATGTACATTTGATGTATGTATGTATGTATATTTGTTTGTTTGTTTATAATATACCAAAAATAAAGTATACATATTTCACACAAAAAATTGTTCAGAATAAATGTGCAAACTTTGAACATACTGGAGGATTATATCATAATTTCTGTAATCCAGGCTCATTTTTTCACTCTTGTCTTACATGAAGAAAGTGTCTGGCCAGTACTGAACTATTAATCCATTGCACTGTTTCCAAGATTGAACTATCAGTCATTTGATTTTGATAAAAGAATGCATTCACTGGATTGATTAAGTTATAGGCACAGTTATTTATTTATTATCTTTTTAGTAACTTTTAATGAAAATGAATACCGCACAATTTATCTTGAAAAATGGTCCAATTCTTGATAACCAAGGCTTCCATTTCTTCCTAACAATATAGACCTAGTATTGAACCAAGATTAGGATTTTGTCATGTGAATATAATTAATGCTACCCTTGAGTTTATTTGCATTATCCATAACCTGTGGAACAGCTCTAACATAAAATCATCATAGCAGATGGGAAAGTATAATACAAAATTTATTAGACAAATGGCTGTCTATTCTCTTTTTTAAAGCCTCCAGTGATAGAGCACCCACAACTTCTGAAGACAAGTCATTCCACTGGTTTATGTCACAGGACAGTTGATTGGATCTAAGGAATCATTTCATAGCAAACTATAAAATAGCACTATTCTTAAATATTTTTATATGCATTTTGGAAGCCAAACAATTATTGCTTATCAAAAACAAAAAAAGAGCTTTTGTTTGGAATATCATTGTTTTAATATTTTTTCCCATTCAGGAACAGCTTCTGAAGATGGTAAGACAATAAAAGAGCAAATCTTAATATTTCCATCATCATAAGCCATACTGTATGCGGACCACATAGTCCATTAACATGGTCTTTGGGGTTATTTATTCATTTGCTTAGCTAATAATGCTTTGTTGCTGCGGTATTTATGTCTTTTTTTTCAAATGCAGATTGGCAATAATGTATCAATATCCATTATATTTTAAATATGTAAACTTTTTTATTTGCTTTGCTATTAAAAATAGTTAGTGAAACTTTTGACACTAGACATTCTCATGCTTTTGGGAATAGGTGCTACTATTTACTCAATCTTTGAAATTTATTTTGGCATCATGATTATCTAACTAGATGTCAATGTTCAATGTCTGAGATTTAGATCAAATATTGTCAAATGGCAAAATATTTTTAAAGCACTAACATGAGGTCCACAAAACGATAATCAACAAATTTGATGCTATCTAATTTGGGATACCTAATTTTTTATTACTTTTTAATGAAATGCAAACTAAATATATATATTGTGTAAGATATTTCATTTGTGGCAGATTATCAGTAGAAAAGTGGTGCTTTTTCTAAGGTTGGCTCCAACTTCTTTATAGATAGAGCACAATTTTTTTTCATATCATACAGTGAGGAAAAAAATTATTTGATCCCCTGCTGATTTTGTATGTTTGCCCACTGACAAGGAAATGATCAGTCTATAATTTTAATGGTTGTTGTTGTTGTTAGTTGCGAAGTCGTGTCCGACATATCGTGACCCCATGGACAACCTTCCTCCGGGCCTTCCTGTCCTCTACCATCTTCTGCAGTCCATTTAAGCTCACGCCTATTGCTTCAGTGACTCCATCCAGCCACCTCATTCTCTGTCGTCCCGTTCTTCTATTGCCCTCAATCTTTCCCAGCATTAGGCTCTTCTCCAGTGAGTCCTTCCTTCTCATTAGGTGGCCAAAGTACTTGAGTTTCAACTTCAGGATCTGGCCTTCTAAAGAGCAGTCAGGGTTGATCTCCTCTAGGACTGACCGGTTTGATTTTAATGGTAGGTTCATTTTAACAGTGAGAAACAGAAAAAAAAATATCCAGAAAAATACATTTCAAAAAAATTATAAATTGATTTGCATTTTAATGAGTATTTGACATCTTCGAAAAACATGACTTAGTACTTGGTGGCAAAACCCTTGTTGGCAATCACAGAGGTCAGACGTTTCTTGTAGTTGGCCACCAGGTTTGCACACAGCTCAGGAGGGATTTAATCCCACTCCTCTCCAAGTCATTAAGGTTTTGAGGCTGACATTTGGCAGCTCGAACCTTCAGCTCCCTCCACAGATTTTCTATGGGATTAAAGTCTTGAGACTGGATAAGCCACTCCAGGACCTTAATGTGTTTGTTCTTGAGCCACTCCTTTGTTGCCTTGGCCATGTGTTTGGGGTCATTGCCATGCTGGAATACCCATCCATGACCCATTTTCAATGCCCTGGCTGAGGGAAGGAGGTTCTCACCCACGATTTGACGGTACATGACCCTGTCCATTGTCTCTTTGATGCAGTGAAGTTGTCCTGTCTCCTTAGCAGAAAAAAAACCAAAGCATAATGTGTCCACCACCATGTTTGACAGTGGGGATGGTGTTCTTGGGGTCATAGGCAGCATTCCTCCTCCTCCTCCAAACACAGCGAGTTGAGTTGATGCCAAAGAACTCTATTTTGGTCTCATCTGACCACAACACTTTCACCCAGGTCTCCTCTGAATCATTCAGATGTTTATTCGCAAACTTCAGAGGGGACTGTACATGTGCTTTCTTGAGCAGGGGGACTTTGCAGGGCTGCAGGATTTCAGTCCTTCAAGGCATAGTGTGTTACCAATTGTTTTCTTGATGACATGGTCCCAGCTGCCTTGAGATCATTGACAAGATCCTCCCGTGTAGTTCTGGGCTGATTCCTCACGGTTCTCATGATCATTGAAACTTCACGAGGTAAGATCTTGCATGGAGCCCCAGACAGGGAGATTGACAGTTATTTTGTGTTTCTTCTATTTGCAAATAATCGCACCAACTGTTGTCACCTTCTCACCAAGCTGCTTGGTGATGGTCTTGTAGCCCATTCCAGCCTTGTGTAGGTCTACAATCTTGTCCCTGACATCCTTGGACAGCTCTTTGGTCTTGGCCATGGTGGAGAGTTTGGAATCTGATTGATTGATTGCTTCTGTGGACTGATGTCTTTTATACAGGTAACAAGCTGAGATTAGAAGTACTTCCTTTAAGAGAGTGCTCCTAATCTCAGCTGGTTATCTATATAAAATATACCTGGGAGCCAGAAATCTTATTGATTGATAGACTATCAAATACTTATTTCACTCATTAAAATGCAAATTAATTTGTAACTTTTTTGAAATGAGTTTTTCTTGATTTATTTGTTATTCTGTCTCTCACTGTTAAAATGAACTTATATTAAAATTATAGACTGATCATTTCCTTGTCAGTGGGCAAACGTACAAAATCAGCAGATCAAATAATTTTTTCCTCATTATATATTTCATAATTTTTGAAATTATGACAGCGATTGAATGTTTGTCTAATATATAGTCATTTGACAATACAGAATCATTCAATAGACTTTTTACTTACTTAATTCTGAACAATAAGACTTACAGAATGGATTTATTTTTATTGAAGTAAAATAATGATTGTTTTGGTTATTTAACATCTTAACAAAATAGTGGCACTTTGTATTCCTTCTGTTTACAGGTCAAATTTTTTACATTTATACACATTACAGTGAATGGCAGAAATTCTGTCATTGCATGGATTTGAGTGTGTTAGTTATAGACCAAGTGTATTGGGTATAAGAAACTTAGTTTGATAACTTCATCAAGAATTGAATGAATACAGGCTCTCATCTCAAAGACGGTACATTATCCTCTGTGCCTGATTAAATAATATATTTTTGTAGGAGACCTAAATGATTTGGTATCTATTTAACTAAATTATGTGTTGAAAATTTTTGGTGTATTTGCTTTTCTTGATTTTTTTTATACTAACCAAACATGACACTAGGAAGTTTCAAACACTTGAGCAATTCTATTTTGGGAACTGAAAAAAAAAGTTGAGTCTTTAAGTTACTTTTAATCTATCCTGCTATTCTTCAATAAAATGGAATCATGTGAATAGTTTCAGAATGTTTTGGATTTTTAAAAAATAATAGAATATGGGTGTGAGTGTGTATATACACACACAAACATAAATATACGCACACGCACACACATATTCATATAAATAATAGACATTGATATCCAACTTGAATATGAGAGACAGTATACACTTCAATTTTGATATGGCACATCTGTAACAGTAACATACACTGTTTAAAATAAAATATATTTTACTTTAAAATAGAAACTATTGTATCGATGCATAAATAATGTTGTATATAATTTGTACTTAAAATATGATAGATTGTTTTATTCGATGTTTATATATTTAAGAGATACTAGTAGTCTTTCAATGGGAAATGCAGGATAAGATTAAAGAAGGAATTATTACCTGCTTCATCTATTAAATTTTTACAAGTAAAATTTGCTAAGAGTTGAGAAGTAATGGAGCTGATTCATTATTTCAACTACACTGTAGCACTGTTTCTCTCCCAATTAACTAGATTACTTCTACACACACTTCTTTCTTTTTTCTTTCTTTTATAGGACGTGTGCGAACCAAATTTTCAACACCCTCTATTGGAATGGGAAATTCAAAAGCAGATTCCAGAGGCCGGAGTCGAACAAAAGTTGTATCTCAGTCTCAACGTATGTATTGCCTGTCTCTCTTAACAATGTTTTAGACCCATAAATCTACTGTACATTCATTGAACAAAGGATATGGTCAAAATATTTCTTAAGAAACACTACATACTGAGTTGTTGTTCTGTGCCATAGGTTCATCATCGCCAGACAAAAATGAAGGTATTTTTTTTTCAGTGTTTCAGTGTTTCGGGTCAGTAGTCTGCATGCTTTTGGAGTCTTTTATACTTCGTGTTGTGTTATTTTGAATAAGATATTCAGAAAAAGAAAAATTAATCCTTTCAGTGTAGAAGTTTTTAAAGTAGACCTTTCTGCACTGGGAAATCCTATAGTTATTTGAGGTTTAAACAGAAAGAGAGCAAAAAGTTAGTGGGTGTTATAATATTTCAATGCCTGAAAACATTTTAATTAACTACAATTCAAACATTATAATTCAATAATTTAAATTCCATCCAAGTTTATTGTTGCTACATTATGTAGAATTGAATGCATTTTTCCAAAATTAGTGAAGCATTGGAATGTATTATTCAAATTATATATTTCTAATACATTTATGTAACTATAATTTTTAACTTACTGTATTTTATACAAATGACTCCCATATTTTCTTATATTTATCCATACAAAATTCACATATATAGGCAATTCACTCATAGGTAGCAAGTGCATTCAGGTCATGAATTCTTTGAGTGAAAGTAGCCATACATTTATTTTTCAAATGCTGCAATATCAGTTTTTTGGCCTTAGGACACAGAGAATCCATTTTCATTTCTCCAGTTGTCAGATTCCAAATACTAGAATATTATCCTCTGAAAATTTTAGGATTGTTCTATTAATTTAACAGGGTACCGAAAATACTCTTGAGTTAGACATTGGTTTATATTTTCTTTTGGTTGGCTAAACATTTCCTTATTCTGTTTTAATTTTGGCAATTGGGATTAAATCTTGAAAAGAAAGCCACATTTCTGTCAACTCTAAAGAGAATGAGTTTTATATTAATTTTTCAAACCTCTCTAAATAGATCCCACAGCTTTTAATTGATATACATTTGAGGAAAGTAGAAGCATTATTGAAAATAATGTTATTTTCTAAAATATAGAATGCATACTTTCAATGTATAAAGAGACTTATGAGAATGATCTTTATGTTTAATGTCTCACTTACCACTTCTTCCTTGTTATAGTATTATAAACAATGTTGCATATTCTAAAAGATGTGCAATGGATGTATGTATTTTCTGTTTGCAATAAAACTATAGAAATTACTGTTGCAAACATCTATCCTATACATATTAATAAATAATTGTAGGGCGGATAAATATTCTGAAGTTTTGTTCCTGCAGACTTTCATGTTTTGATACTGAAATTGAATGTCTTGACAAATTAAATCACTTCAGTGGCAGTGGATTTTAAATACTGCATCTAGTCCAAAGTTCACTTACATACCATTATTTTCATGCCTAGGTGTTCATGACTTTTTGGCTTATAAGATTCTTAGGTGTCTAAAATTTACATTTCAAATATATGTACAAATATATTTTGCAACTACATATATATTTATCAAGTAGTTGTAATTGATTATTGCTCCTTGTTCCTTAAATGTAAAATGGCAATTCCAGAGAGAGAGAGAGATAGGGTGTGGATGTGGATATATGTATTCAGATGACCTAATTCTTATTCTAATGAAAGACAAGGTGAAAATCTAACATAGTGTAATAGTTATGTTGTAATATTTACTTATTAATACTTGTGGCCAAGTATTCTATCCCAGAGATAGCCAACTAAAGGCTTAGATGTTAGGTTGCAAAAATAAGCTGGGTAAATTGTTGGTATATCAACCACATTGCTACCTGATAGGATTCTTCCCTTGAGGAGGAGCTTGAAATTCCCTTGTCTTCTGATGTTGGACAATTTTAATTTCCATTCTGTAAGGATCATCTCTAGTGAAGCTCAAGAATTAATGCATAGTGTGGGATTGTTGAAAGTAATAATCAGGTTCAATACTTGTAAGTGGGTCCATGCTTGTCTCAAAATAAATGATTTGTGATCAGAATATGGAGAGTGTTTCCACCAGCCTTTTACCATCATCAAACAGTTCCTAGCACCTTTGATACTGGATGCAACTCAAGACCTCTATAGAGCACACAAACTATTTCAGATGGTCATCCTAGGTCTCTCAGAGCTACATTCAGCTGGTTTCCTGCAAGTGTTGGAGGTTTTTCCAGAAAACCCGAAGGTTCCTTTCTATTTGGTAATAAACAGCAACCAAGCACTTGGTATGATTGTCCCCAGCAGCCTGTCTGTTGATTAATTACAGATTTTTTCCTCCCAGAGATGGAATAGCAAAACAAATAAATTTGATTGAATGTGGGTATGAGCTCAATTTCAAGCTTACACCTTCTCCGATATTGCATCACTAGGCTATTGATTGGACTTGTTTAGAGGACCTAGCTTCCATTAGGAAAGGGCAACAAGTAAATGTGGCAACTAGGACCAATTAGCACTGCCAATTAACATTACATATTGCCAAACCAGTGATATTCATCAGAATCTTGACACTGGATGGGTGATAGCCTGAACAATATTTGACTATATTATATGGGGCTATTTACCACTTGTAAAATGGATATAATGCTGTTATGTTGTCCCTAACCATTGGTGGGTTTGATTTTACCTTTCATGGGTTCTAGAGGGTTTGAATTTGATGTATCATACTGGATGTAGGAGGTAATGTGGGAAACGCAACAGAAGCACTTTTGTAAGAGATTATAGTACACTTCTTCCATTATAATCTCTTCTTGGAACTATTTGTATTTGATAACTATTGCCAAGTCTCCAACCTTCCCTTTTGAGGGAAGATTATGGAAACCCTGGTGGATGTCCATAATCTGGCTATAGATAATCCCTGAGTTATGAGCGTTGACTTAATGTCCATTTGAAGTTACATGACAAGCGTTCCCTAGTGTTTACAAGCAAGTCCCAAAATTACAAATGTTGCAGCACCATGGCAGTTGTTCGCCCTTACAAACAACTGCAGAAGTTCACCCTATTCCCCCCTCCCATTCATCACAATTGCTTCCCCCTCTCTTCCTGCTGTGCAGGACTCACCTTGCAAAGATCTGTCTCCTCTCTGCCACTGTTTCTTTCCCTTTGAGGAAGAGGAGAATTGTCTTGGAAATGCTTTTAGTACCAACAATGAAAGTTTCTGAGATCCGTGATCTCATCCGACTTCAAACACACATTCTCTTCAAAAGAGATCATGGCCCCTGGAAGCTTCCATTTTCCGGGGGAAAAGTGTTTACTTCATTTGCATACCTATGGGGCAAAGCGTGGAATTGGAGTTGGCCGGGAGCAATAACCAATGCTGTCCATGGCCCTGGTACGTTGCTCCTGCCGTAGTTTGAGGGCAGGAATGAAGCTTTCAACTGACCAGGGAGGCATTGCGGGGCCAGGCCCCTCACATCTTCCCTGCCAAAACTCATTCCAGGGAAAAAATGACACCCCTTTGTCCCGCTTGAGCAGGGAGGACGAGGAGGAGGAGAAGACAGTGAGGCCTTGTGCCAGCAGGCCAGGAAGGGAGTAGGTTAGGCAAGGGTGCTACCTAGCTGGGTGGCCACTCACTGTCACCAGCAGTTTTGGTATCCCAGCTCCATCTGAGCTGAAGAAAGTGAAGGTGTAGCAACGGAATTGCTCTCAACCAATAAGGCCCTAGCAGCGCACCCATTGCCAACTCCAATGCCAAGCTTTCCCCATAGGCATGCAAATGAAGCAAATACTTTTCCCTCAGAGAATGAAAGCTTCCGGGTGCCATGATCTCTTTTGCAGAGAATGAATGTTTGAAGTTGTGTAAGATCACTGACCCCAGAAACTTCCATTGTCGGCGTGAAAAGCATTTCCAAGTCAACTCTCCTCTCCCTCAAAGGGAAAGAAACTGCAGCAGAGAGGAGACAAATCTTCGCAATGTAAGTGAGTCTGGCGCAGCAGGAAGGGAGGGGGAAGCATGAGGTATCTTAATGGGTCAGGGAGGCCTTCTGGGGGCTGTTCTATTATTAGGCCCCACATGGCCTTCCCCACACTGAGGTACCTCATGTGCACTTAACAAGCAGTACATTCAATGTGTGGGCGAAAACGGAGTGATCACGCCCAAGGTACAAGATTCACTTCCACGAGTCCTCGAGTTACGAATGGAATGGGCAGGCTACATTACATTAATAATTTTGTAACTCGAGGACTACCTATATAGATCATGTATAGGGAACAAATTATTTCAGTTTTGTTCAATCACATTTCAGGCTTGGGACTGGGACTGAAGCATGACTTCCTCTTACAGATAGCCTTCATTGTGATCTGGAGAAGTATATTCCTTCTATTCTTTTATATTTTTCAGAACTCTTTAATACCATTAATCAAGTATTCTTCTGAGTAGCCTGCAGGGATTGAGGGCTGTAGGCACAGTTTTAGAGAAATTCTGTTTCTTATTTAATAGGCAATTCCAGTCACTGGCTGTAGGAGAGATGAACCTTGGTGAAGTGTCACAGTACTCAATCTCTCCCTACTTTTTAATATCTACATGAAACAGCTAGGGGTGATCATCCATCAGTTTGAGGTCCAGTATCCAGGTCCAAGTTTTGACACAGGATCTAGAGACTATGAGAATCAAAGTGAGACAAAACAGGCTGAAGTTGAACCCATAAGAGATAGTTATTGTTTATCCATCAGAGATTTCTATGTCTCCTGTCTGTTGATAAACCAATACTATCCCTAAAGAAGCAGATTCATGGCTGGGAGTCCTAGACTTATAGTTATTGCTAGAAAGGCAAGTAGATGCTGTGGCTGATGGTTCTTTGTCAAGATTTGCTGTGCCAGTTTAGCCTTATTTGGAAGACATGGATATTGCAGCATCATTTGCTTGGACTATTGCTGGTGCACTCTGCACTTCCTTTGAAAATCACCTGGAAACTAATCTTAAAGTTGCTTGCTGACTCACATCAACATAAATTATCTAAA